TTGTAATTTTATTTAGGAAATTTTAGTTTCTTCTTTAAGCGACAAAAGCGCCCATTTTGATCCTCATATCATATTTCCCACTTGAGAGGACCTTAAACGTTATTGGTTGATTGTCTCTTTTAATATGAGATTTTGTAACGTTTCTCAAGGATATTTTTATGCTGCATATATACGCTTGAGTTGTGTTTGTTGTTGTTCGTGCTTCTAAATGTTTGTGGGATACATTTTCCCTCTTCCGAACCTGGACTTCTTTTTCTAGTTAACGGGGCTTGGGAGCATCGGAATAGTTAGCTTATTTGGTCATTGTGTCACTGAGTCTTCGTTCCGTTCGCAGATTAGATGAACACTAATCTCAAACAGAATATTTTCTGGATGGTGGTAGGTCATAAATGATGCTGAATCGATTGTGGAGTCAAGAAAACTAAAAATGGGAGAAGCTCGTGAAAGAGTTTACAGGTGAAACTTGAATTACAGTATCGTAAAATGTGATAAGAATTGTAATTTCTAATTGTTTAAAAAACTCCCAATCTTTTGGAAAACACAAATAAATGGAGGATAAATATTCATTTCAATAAATTTCGACCAGCGCCTACAACTACTATTCTAAATTAATTTTCCGAAGGGATATCCAAGTGTAAAATATATTCATCTTTCTAGCATATGAATTTAAGATTGTAGGTAAAATAAAATAAAACTGTTGATATCAAAATGGCTAGTATACAATGTTAAATTGGGTGAGCCTATATGTCAGCTAAAATTATGAGAATAATAATCAGAGTAAACCTGAGGAACACATACGGTGAGTAAGGTAATAATGCAGTTACAAACTTAATGAAATATTTGATTAAACATTATAATATGAATCAAGAAACCCTGAAATGAATTAGGCGCTAATTAAATTTAGCATGCATTTACAAAACTAATAATACAATTGGGAACGCTGTGAAAATTACGTCATCTTAAAATTGAGATGATCATTGACTTATTTGGTCAGGCATTAACTACGTTAAAGCAAGAGGCTAATGATATTTCTTCTTATCATTATTTTTATCTGACTCATTTACCTAATAGAGGTATGTGTACTGTCTTGTGTTTTGCGTTTCGCACGACGGAGAGCAATACTACTGTGCCTCCGAAGTCGAAGTATGTTTTGAATCTGCAACCCAGTGGTTGAAAATTTATTACTTTCACTATTAAACCGCTGTTTCACAATGCTTTCATTGTTTTACATATGTTTTAAATAGCTAATGAATGCTTATACAAGAAATATGGTGGATAAAATTAGAGCGTTGTTAAGAGCAACGGAAAAGCGGAAAATGATAATGCAATGCTAATTGGAAATGGATAACCGAAAATGGATACAAGCAAGTCCCTCATATCGACTGAGTACCGATCCCAATCTCGAATCGATTTTTCAAAACTGAATGCACGATTATCATAGTGCTTTTCGTTGTCGAACAGTATAAATATATATTAGTTTAAGCCTAAGAATATCTGTTCTTGGTGCATTACGTTATGGTAAACCATTTATATTGGACTTAATGGAACTCGATAGCACGTTTCATACTATTTGTCAAGAAAGACTCGATGCTACCAGATCATCACTGTTAACGGACATGACTGGAAAAAAAACATCCTAACATGTAAGTGATTATGGTTTAACATTTTATTTATGAATACAGAGATGATTGACACTGAAATGAAATCCACTCCATACCAAGATTTAAAGTACCTACCTTCTAATTGGCTATCCAGGTTTTCATCTTAACTTGAATTATTATTCTTTTAAGGGCATAGTCTCTGGACAAAGACTACTTCAATAATTGATTTACTTGTTTATATCAGGACGATGTATTTATTCGATACATAAAAAATCTTGATATCAGACAATTTACTCATTAAAAGTTTTAATATCTATGCAAAACTATTTATGACAAGTTCATACTTCATTAGGACAAAGTCTCCCTGTCGAACATTACAAAGGAACCCAATAGCACATAATAGTACAAACCCCTTTTAGTAAGCTGGTGTACCAAACGTTTATAGAATGGTAGTTGATTTGTAATTTTTTGGTATACAGATCCTGGAGTTATGAAAGGCTAGACACAATAACATATACCCCATGTCAAATACATAGCTATTTATATTGCATTTGAAGTGCAGGTTTGATGATAACCAATTTCAAGTCAGAGACCAGAGAAGCTAGATACAAGAAATAAGGACAGTTATTTGGTCAAAGCTTCAATGATGAAGTAGTACAGCATTTTTAAAAGAAATCAGAATCAGTGGCACTACATCATAGTCGGGTTTTTAATTTGCCGCTATGCTATGTAAAGACTGACCGAGTCCAGCCTAATGATTACTCATTATCGAAAAAAAAAGATTTACAGAAGAGAATTAGGGTTTTATCATGGCTAGACGGTGGTGTATACAGGTTTGCTCTTCAAATTGAACTATCAAAATCCAACAACAGAATATACATCAGCAAATTAATAAACATTATTCACTATGCTGCTAACCTATTGACATGATAGTGTTCCCTTTAGAATATAGGTTTCCCCTGACAGTGCACAGGTTTATTCATGTTAAAATAATTTATCTGTACCCAGTGTAAAGTTTATTAGGAAGTAAACTTAATTACACGTATAACCAATTATCCAAAAGTCACTAATGACATTTTATCTCACTAATTGATTAAAATAATGTAACTCGTATGTGCTGTATTTATCTTCATAATCGATACTCCACAAACACTCCTATGACCATAGAATTGTTTTATATGTTTTCGGACTTATTTATACATCCTTACCAAAACGACAAATAATAACTTAACTCAGATAACTGTTTCACAACAGATAGTACGGAAAGTGAGTTAACGTTCCATTAGGGAATTCTAATTTCCAATTTAATGGTAGTATGTTGCGAGGTTAATTCCTACAACAGAATCTGATAATTATTATTGTTGTCTTCCAAAACGTAAAGTTAATTGTAATATCAACAACTCTGCTATTATTTTCAGTGTCATCACATACGTAATCACCGACTCCAGGGAACAGTAAAATGGTTTAGTTAAAGTCTTGCTTAGTGGACGCGACAATTCTGAGAAAATAACAGGTTCGCTGATGGATAAGTTAAAATGATTGAATACTTGTTGCTCTGGGTCGAACAAAACATAGATCCTCATTATTATTATTAGCGGTGCACCTATAATGAAATTTCAAACACAAAACAGTGTGGAAAAGTACTATTCAGTCCAAATTAGGATATCTGGATAATTTATAGACCCGGCGGTATTGTATATATTCACAACTGAACTATAATGACCACTTCTAGTAGCTCTGGTTATATGGGGCTTCTAACAGCAATGAGACGTTGAAACTAAATGCGGCTCGAATATGAGAAAAACAAGTTCTGAAGTATATTCCAAAAAATACAAATGTGCGTGGGACATGACTATGTTTCATGTTCGAACCAAAACCCTATGATTTTCCGTCTCCCAAATAATTTGAATATAAAGATAATCTATCCCCATAGACTCTGAGGAGCATGAACGGTCAGTAATCAAAATAAGATGTTTTACATATGTATAACCACTATAAGACCTTATTCTCCAAAGACTATAGTTCCACACTTACACAACCTGTGAACTATGATGTTAGAATTCTAGCAAAACGTGTATCATGGACTTAATTTGGTTCCTACCCACATTTGGATTTCTAGCGATCCCTAGGTCGTATGAATTTTTTCTTGAGATTGTGTTTACCGTTCAGTAAAGGAAACTAATATTACCAGTAATATGATTCTAGTATATAAGCCGACCAATATTTGATAGATTGGGTTAGCTTTAAGCTAAGTTTAACAACTAGGTACGTAATATGGGGAAAAGCATCCAAAATTAACCCTTTTGGGGAGGCATGACAAAATAACCAGACTACATTATACAGTATGTTATTCGAAATTATCGTTCATTACAAATCCCTGTTGTCAGAACTTGAATGATAATTAACTGTGAATCACCAGAAGATAAGTCCGGTATCAACGACGGCGCATGTTAGCTATATTGTTTTGTTAATACTAAAAATGATTAGTTCGTTGCCTTCATTGAGTCGTTTTCAGTAATCGTAAGGGAACCCTAGTGAATATGTTCAGTTACGGTAACCAAATAAGTGAAGAACGAAGGACATCAAAAAATATCTACCATGACTACAGATAAGAAACAACATAACCTCGCCAGAACTAGCGCCTTTTTTGTTAAGTTTTTGTAAACGTCCCAACACCCAAAAGTAGTTCCAAATAGTTTGGCGTTTCACTCACGACAGCGTCGTATTTCACTAATATGTGGATGACATCAGTCTTCAATAATAATACTAAAACAGACAACCATACTAAAAATATAGCAACCGAAATATTTTAAGATATACTTCAATTACTAAGAACAAGGTGAGCTAATAATGCGACCATAAATCGTTGTGATGTTAAAGAATGTAAGTTGCTCCAAATATATAATCAAAGATTCGACTTATAGACTACATTGATACAAAATCATGACGTTTCTATACATAAGAAAGTCTTTCCAAACCACTAACATGCGCTAATTGAAGGTAAGTTCGTAACACAACAAACTCAAGAGATAGGGCAATCTTGCTGAAGTCCATGACGAAGTAACCTGTGGCCATGATCGAAGAATATGTGGAAACAACCAATCAAATGGCTATGATCAACGCTTATCAATTTAGATAGTGAAGCACTCCAAATGAAATATAACCACTAACTCCAACAGACATGAGCTAACCGATGTGTAACAAAGTTCTGGGTTGCCGTTCGCACATATAGACATTACTAATGATCATTACAAGTTCAGTCGCTCTAGAGGACATATCAATTTAGAATGCTGATGTAACTACAAAAGTTTATCATTTGACGTATGCCTGAATAATATTAACCCACGTTAGGATGTCTTACCTACATTGATCTTTCGAGATGAGAAGCAAGCTACATATCCGTTAAGAAAACTTTATTACAAATTACAAATCTCCTGCGACTTTAACATCACAGTTAACACCAGGCTCTAGATATATGTGTTTAAGCTGTTGGGTAGCTTCATCCGTCGACAATAGGTCAATCACACGCTTGTGAATCCTAAACTGAAACCTGTCCCAAGTCTTTGAGCCCTCACCACATGGTGTTTTTCGCGTAGTGATTCGTAACACCTAGAAAGCAGTTTAGAGGAAATATCCACTTACTTTAGTTGGCATACGTACAGGGCCCTTAACCCTCAGATTTTGATCTTTCGCCTTCTTGATAAGACCATCAGTGACTTTCTCAAGTGGTTTGACACTGGCGGCTGTCAATGTAACTCGAACCCAGTTTCTTGTCGATAACTGTGGGACATCTGCCTTCTTCTCTGCCATTGCAGCACAAAAACACGATCTCAAGTAATTAGCCCGCCTTCAATAGAGTAAAGAACTAAAACACAGTAAAATATCGTAACGTAGTTTGCAGGATACAATCACTACAAGTAGTTATAGGAGGGAACGAAAAATGCGGCTTATTATTATGTTCTGCAGTAATAAAAGTGACTACAATTCGTTGACGGAATTTTCAGAACTACCGTTGTTTATGGGCTTGGAAAGGATAGGATGTTTGTTGGCCTGTGTTGGTCCTGGAACTGATGGTCTCTCAGTTGCGCCAACTTTCTTTTGAAAGAGTCGACAGATGGAACCTTAATAGTGTATTGAGGCAATGAATTCCACTCGCTGATAATGCAGTGGGAAAGCCGATGTTCAGCTGACAAGTAATTTGTCCTGGGCTTGTGAACGTTATTGCAGTGTCCTCGTAAATTATCTGTTTTGGAAGACAAGAAATATGGGAGCATATCACATGCAACTTTATCAACAAGTTATTTGAAAACTGTAGTTAAGTTACATCTGGTTCTTCGATTTGACTAAGGAAGTAGTTTTGGTTAAGTCAATCAAGCATAATACAGGAGCCTCGCTATTCCGGGAATCAGCCTAGCATCTGTTCCCTGAACACTTTCTGAACGCACATTGTCTTTTTTTAAGCAAAGGCTAGTCGATTGTATGCAATACTCAAGCTTAGGACACACGAATACTGTATACAAATTAAAAATGTTTAATCTTCAACATGCCCAAAGGTCCTACGTATTGACCGTAGGGTCCCAAAACCATGAGTGGCTATCGCATGGCAGTGTGCAGTAGTTTTTAGGCCTTGGTTAACAATGAATCCTGAATCATTGTGTGTCTGGACAACAGATGGCTCAGTGTTATTCACCGTGTATTCATCTTTACCTTGATGACCAATATACAGCTTAATGAACTTGAAAGTATTTATCGGCAACTGCTAATTTTGAGGACAATCAGATAATTTCTTCAGGTCTTTTTGAAGTTTGAAGCGATAACTTTTAAGTATACATTTTGGAATACATCACAAGCTGATTTATTAGGGGACTCTGGCTCTATTGTCCAATCTACTGACGATGTTTAGTGTGTAATATCCTGTATATTTGTTTTACAGACGTTAGTTCTGGGTTGAGCTGACGTGTGCTTGTCTCTGACAACTATATAACAGTCAGGGGTTAGAAGTGCAGCAGCTCTTGTCCCACTCTAATGGGATACACTGTCAATAATGGTAAATGGGATAGAATTCCTATTGAATAAAGCCATTCCGCCTATTTCGCGTCCCTGTATTCTGTCGGCTCTTACCAACGTAAGACCTTCAAAATCAAGTGCCATATTATCTATAGGCTGCGACCGCCACGTTTCTGTGACTGTGATTATATCTGCCTTGGTAGAGTCAATCTATACACCCAGTTCCGACCGCCTATTGAACAAGCTTCGGTCATTTGTGTAACAGTTCCGAAGCCTATTAAATGGCTTTGTACTGCACCCGAAATTGTTATGGAATCATCCTCTGTTGAAGCGTCACAACCCGAAAATTTACAATACTTAGGTCCTTTGTGCTAGCATATAACCTACGTTTTAGTTCTTTTTCGGCTTCTCGTCTTTTTATACGGTCTGTGAGGGGCAAGTCCTTGCGGACAAAAACTTCGAACCCTTTAGTTTGTGTTCATTCTGTATTATTAAGTCCCATTCATTAGGGGATTCAAATACTACGTTAAGCATCCTGGTTTGTTTTTGTTTCAAAGTCGTTTGGCTACCTAGTTTATAAACCTTTAGCAAAGTGTCTCCGGAGATATCCTGATGCATCAGCTGATTTAGTAGCTGCTTTTTTATCGACCCATTGTCATACTCAAAACGAGTTTTAAGTTCTGAGCTTTCATTCTCCTTGATTCTACGAAAGATAACTAGCCTGCTACCGTGATCAATCTTTAATTTGTCATCTACTTTTGCTGTATTGAATTATCTTTAGTAGTGTTATGTCGTTTCTTGTTCTCGAGTTGTACCCATTTATTATATTTTATTGGAGTAGCAGCTATAGTCGCATCAAACACACTGCGGGATTCCGAGAGGTTATCGATAACTTGGGCAGTCAGGTTGTTTTTACTGCTAGAAACAGCTCTAGCCTTGCGATCGAGGTTCTTAGGGTTTCCTGACAACTACCATTTAGAAGACGACAGACAGGAAACTTCATTTCTTGGGTTTTTGTTTAGGACAAACCTCTTTTAAGTCAGTCTTTCCTCCCTAGATCGACGTGATTAAGTCGTTTCCGAAGTCACTTGCGGTGGCTTTAAACCAATTTGTATGTTGACTGATCGATTACTATCCGATGTGTCCCGACTTCGTTTGCTAATATCCTTTTAGCAGCATTTACCAGTCGAATGGTCTCGGCTAGCAAGCTGTTTGCGTCCGAGCATCACTGCTGACAAGACCAAACACAACCATTTGTACTAAACCGTATGAAAGTCGCAGGCGTTAGATTCGTGGAAACGTCGTGGTACCGGCATTTCCACGCGTCTCATTGCATGCCGCTTTCAACGGGTATCGAAAACTCGGGCGTTCACAGTTGGTTTTCTTGCACTTTTGAGCCATGAAACAGACGTTTTCAAGAAGAAACTAGATACAATAATACCCAGGAAAAAAAGTGATTTATGACCGAATTGCTAGAACGAAATCTGCTAACAACACATCTCGAGTGTCTGAAGGCTGGCCGTCTTTTATTAGCCTTAGTTGTCAGAATTTCTCAGCTTATTAAACAGCGTTTTTCACTCTTCTCCTTACGTTCCTGTAAATAAATGTTATAGCAAAGTGATCCAGTATGCCTTGTTACAAAAGCCGATATTTCAAAATACAAACTTCAGCTACGATAAGACAGAATAACGAATTGTCTGTTCTTCGGAATCTGCATCTGGATACTGAGAAAGCGTTCATGGTTATTGACGTTATAATTCCTATTTAGTTTCTTAATATTGCTAACAGTGGTTTATGTGTAGTAATCCGAAATCAATACCCGTAGATCTAAGGTCAACTTTGAGCCTGCTCCTAGAAAACCAAGAAAAAGATACCACTGATAGTTTTTCTGTTGGGGGTCCGACAGCTAACTGGTTTTGGCGGTGAGAATCCTAGCATGACATTTTGCTGGTCTTCCGCACTATGTACATAGCGGATGATCTATTAATTATATTACTTGATTGAAGTAGTCTGTTGATGCGAAGATTATGATCTATATAATAATTCCCGATCATACACCCTTTAATCCATCTGTCTTGTACATACTGTAAATCTAAAGCCCCCAGAGTAAGTGAATAGGGTCTTCATTTTCAGTTCAAGTATCTTCTTGGTAATACTTTAAACATGTCCCGAAAATGTGTTGTTTTTAGGAAAAAATCATGCTCTCGTTTTTTCCCAAATTTAATTCTCGGTACACATTAAAAATTATCTGGGAATATTACGTAGTTAGACTATTAATGCTCTAGGAAGAAACCTTTAACCAGGTTTTCTTCATTGGTTACATAATGTCATCCGGAAGAAATTCAGAGTATCACATATGGTGATTTCAGATACTTTTGTGTAATAGAGTATATAATCCCCAAAACACCCTAAAATTACGAGGTATCTCCATCACAGCTATTTACCGTCTGCATCGTTTCGTAATAAGAAAAAAGAACTCTCCGTTTTTCAGGCGATATATCCAGAGAAAAACTTTTTGAAATGTTAGGAAATAAGCAAAACGTGGTGTTTATATTCAAATCTAAATGTCATGTATATTAATGAGTGTTTCAGAATCTTGGGTAGAAAACAGAGTATGAAAAAGTAAACAATCTGAACAACAATTTAAGACCGTAGCAGCCAAATGTTTGAGGTTAACAGTTGGCCTTAAGCCTGTTATTAGAATGAAAAAATAACAACCTGAAGTCAGGGTTGTTTACCTCCATATTTTATGCGGTATTCAATTTTACAACTTCCTATTTTGGATAACAAAATTTGTATGTGTTTATATAGGACAAGCCTGATCTTCACTTGCTCTACGTGCTGTATCACAAATGTTTTGACAAGGCTCTTTTAGGCTTTTTCTGACATTACCATCCAAAAGGGTTATTAATAATCAATCTTAACATGACGTCAGAATGAATTCCACCTGAATCAGCAGATTTACAATAATTCTGAATCCTTTTGATTTTCAGAATTCAAAACCTCATTATTCTCAGGTAGTCATGAATAAGAATTATATAGCATTCAGTGTACAGAAATACATAAAGACTGAAGTAACTTACACGGCAGGTAATTTAGTTTAAGAACATGAGACTAGGCGTATATGTCTGAATCTCTGCTACTCTAGGGAGCGTTTAGTGTGTATTCGTTATGAAATAACTTAGATATTGTAGACAGATCACATCTAGCCATACACTGTGCTTATAGGGACATAATTAGCCCAGAAAATCTCTTGTTACATAGTAGATGTGAGATCCAGTAGACCAAACCATTTTCAGCTTTTTGAATCTACTAAAGACTATTCGGAAACATGTACCAACGGCTGGTATGCAGTGTAAGAATTTTGTTCGAACGAATATTGTAAGCAGTCTCACACATTTACTGAAATCTTGTCTGCTGAATTTTCCATGCATTGCGGTGTGTGGTTTTAAGTCTTTTCTGATAATGAATCCTTGGTAAAAATGAAGGTTCAACACATATTTATTTATTGATAGCTCATATGAACCATAATGCAACTGAATGCATTTACAGCAAACCACCAAAGACCAGGAGGTTCCAATGATTATTTAAAATCTTGTTTGAGCCCTATGGTATCGTTTTTGTTACAGTAAAATACAGGCCAACAACATGTGAGTTAATTTGATGATTATACGCGATAATTGGCGACATGTATATTTCGACAGCAATCATTCAATAACGACCATTCGTCTAATCTAACTGAAGTCAGACATAGGGTCACTAAAGTAGTATTTGAGTCGTAGTCCAGATGGTTTGATGTTTTCAAGTGATTTTTATCATGGTGATGGCTCCTTAAAGGTCAGAGAAAAAACGTCAGAGGAGCTGAATATCAAAATTATTCGAATTTTAATCAATCCGTGGAAACTTCGAGATGCTTCATTCTACTGTAGAAACTATAATGAAGTTTTGCCGTTTAGACTTTCTTATTTATCACTTTTCATAAGGCTGGGAGAAAATTTAATTTCGTTTCATATTATGTTGTTAATAATAAAATTGCAGATAATCCAAGTTACATTCTTCCTCGGATAAAGAGGTTAACTG